ATATTAAGGGAGGAACATAGACTGAGGGTGTTTGAGAACAGGGTGTTGAGGAGAATATTTGGACCAAAGAGAGATGAAGTGACAGGAGGTTGGAGAAAACTACATAATGAGGAGCTTCATAACTTGTACTCTTTTCCAAGTATAATTAGAATGATCAATTCTAGGAGGATGAGGTGGGCAGGGCAGTAGCACGAATGGGGGAGACGAGGAATGCGTATAGGATATTGGTGAGAAAACCAGAAGGAAAGAGACCACTGGGAAGACCAAGGCGTAGGTGGGTGGACAATATTAAAATGGATCTTAGAGAGATAGGATGGGATGGTATTGATTGGATTGATCTGCCTCAGGATAGGGACCAGTGGAGGGCTCTTGTGAACACGGTAATGAACCTTCGGGTTCCATAGAATGCTGGGAAATTCTTGAGTAGCTGCAGAATTGGCAGCTCCTCCATAAGGGCTCATCTCCATGAGTAAGTAAGTAATACCGGAATAATATACACCTTTTTGAACTTTAGTTAGACTTACTAAAGGAACGTGAAAGTACAATTTTTGGCTGATATTTATTTTATGCAAGTCAGTATTTATTGTGAAAAAAATCCTTATGCTTTACAAAAACATAAGGGTTGAAAAGATATATTGGGAGTAAAGAGTTAAAATTCCAAGTTTACTAAAAATTTCCCTACAGGAATCCCTTGCTTTGGCTGTCACGATAATTCCTACAATTTGTTTCTGGGTTATAAAAATATATCTACTATGATACAAATTACCCCAAAACATGATAACATAATTTAACACTGAATGAATATAGGAGAAGTAGATCTGTTTCAGGGTTTTCGATTCTAATACAGGTCTGAGGGAATGAACCATGTAGCCTAACAAATTTAACTTTGAATTTTTATAATGAATATGTTCTTTCCTTATTAATGAAGATTCTATTATAATATCTAAAAACTTAATGTTGTTAGTACAGTTAATTTTATAAGTATTGAATTCAGTGGTATCCAAAGTCCGATGACTAATATTTGAAAGGAACTGAATAAAGTTAGTCTTATTATAATTTAATAGCATTCTATTTGAGTTAAACCATTTTTATGTAATTTCCAGAACTACTTTAACATCTTGGTCCATCTTCACTGAATCAGAATTTTATATTATAAAGGTATTATCATCTGCAAAAAGTATCGGTAAGGTTTTGCCTTTTACTAAGTTAGGTTGATCATTTATATAAAATAAAAACAATAAGGGTCCAAGAATCGATCCTTGGGTCACTGCATGTTTAACTAATTCCCTATTTTATGAATAGGTACAATTCTACACTGAGGAATATAAAACTCTGAATACCTCAAGGGTCTATTTTGAGCATGCCCCTGTTTTTATTATATATATTATAAATGATTTACCCCATCAAATATCAAATGGAGAAGTCGTTCTTTTTGCAGATGATACCAAAATAATGGTAATACATAAGAATAAAATTACTCTCCAAGAAAAATAAAAACAGTGATGATCCAGCTAGAATATGGTTTTTGAAAAATAACCTGCTTATAAATACTAATAAGACCAAAGTAATCCTATTCCAATTAAATAAACCGTATGACATTTCGGAGCCAGTTATTACTTTCAAAAATATAAAAATTAATTATACATCAGAATTCAGAATTTTAGGTATCAATGTAACACATAATCTAAAATGGAGGTCACACATTCAATCCTTGTGTCTAAAACTGAATGAGGTATGTTACATTATTAAATCCTTGAAAGATGTAGTGAGTTTATATATACTTAGGAATATACGCGTATACTTTGCCAAATTTCAGTCCTTTTCCTTTTTTTATTGCTAATGGGGTGGGACTAAGTCCCTTGTACTGTGGCCACTTCTGGCCTATTGTACCAGACCCAGATGATAGATGAGGGTGATTGTGGAGCAATTGGTGGAATGAAGATTGGCAGGGGAAACCAAAGTACTTGGAGAAAACCTGCCCCAGCGCCACTTTGTCCACCACAAATCCCACTTGACCAGACCCGGGCCGCGGCGGCGGGAAGCCAGTGACTAACAGCTTGAGCTAAGGCGCAGCCACAAATTTCAGACCTTAGTAAGGTATGGTTTGATTTTTTGGGGTGGAGAAAGCGAAAATAGCAAAGTACTGAAAATACAAAAAAAGGATACTTTGCTTAATGAAAGGTGTAAATAGTAGAACATCATGCAGACCTATTTTTAAAGAATTAAAGATTATGACTGTTACCTCTTTGTACATCTTTGAGGTGCTGTGCTAGTTTCAGAAATGTAATTTATACTGTACAAGAAATTCAGATTTATATGAATATAATACTAGAAGGAAAGATGATTTTCATATGCCAAATTGTAAAACATCAACTTTTAAAAAAGTGTTATCAATATTGGTATTAAATCGTATAATAGACTGCCTTTGGAATTAAGAAAATCAGATGGATCTAAAGACTTTAAACATGGGCTAAAATTCTTTTACTAGATCAGATCATCCATTCTATGAGTTTCTCTTATAGAGACAGTAGTAAGCATAGCAGAACCTCTATTCAGCAATGGATATAGATAACAAATGGTTGTGTGCAGTATCTTAAGGTGTTCAGTGACTGACATGGTCATATGTAGGACTCTTTGATTTACTGTAATACTCTTAAAATTCTCTCGATAAACTCATACGGTTGGCTTGCTTTTTGATTTACATGTTGTATCTAATTTGATTATTTATCTGGTTTGATAGTCTGTGTTATATTTTAATTATAGGTTAACCATGTCAAGCATGATTATATATTGTTGAAAAATTCTAATCCTTTAGGCATTAGGATTTCAAGAATGATGTATTTAATGATGTGACTTATTCAAGTGTTACTGTTGTAACAATTATGAATGCCAAATAAAAATGAAATGAAATGAAAGTGGTCCGCATATACTACAGATTCTGTTTCCATTAGCACCTCCTCCCTAACCGAATCAATGGGTGTTGAGGATGAACTTGCATAGATGAGCATAAGATATTAATGTAGTTCCCATCAGTGGAACCACGGATTACTAATTATGGAATGTGCGCCATGATAGCTCAGCAGAATATAGTGATGGGCTACAAGTTCGTCAGCCCAGGATCGGTTCCCAGCAGGATCAAGAGTTCTTTTCTTTTTTCCTCTATAGAGTCCCACCCAGTTCCCTGGCCATCAGATACCAGGGACTATTTCCCTGAGGGTCCAAGAATGGTGGAACTTTATCTCCACTCCCCCATACATGGTGCTTAATTAATTAAGTACATGGCCAACTTTGCCTTCAGTATGTCAATCAGTCTTAGCTATCTGCATGGAAAATTGAGAATTTGCTGTGTACTGATGCCTCCCCATTATGAAGAGCTGAAACATGTTGCAGTCTCTAAAACAATGGTAATCCCAGGGTAAACACATGCAACTTCTGGCAATAATAATTGCTGATACATGACAATTTGTAATACCATGAAATTCAATGAATAAAACAGTTTCAGGATTGTTAGTTGATCACAGATAAACACTGCATGGAACATGGAAATCATACAAGTGATGTATACCAAACAATTGGCAGAAAATTTGGCTTATGTCAAGTAACATAAAAGACAAACTAAATATTTGAAGACTGCTTAGGAAATGAGTATGTGGAAGTTAAAACTGATAAAAATGTCTCATGTAGTGGCCTGCTAAAGACAACTTTCCTTGAGGGGACAAGAAATATGTCATAAATTATTTATACCCTTGAGCTGTAACAGATGCCTTCCTGTTAACTTCAATTGGAGGGGGGGAAAGATACCAAAAATTAATATCAAAAGATTGAACTCAGTTTGTACCACTATTTGTGTTTCAATATGGAGACTCACAACTCTAGGATGATCTGTAGAAATGTTTGTAAACAGCTTAAACTTGGTTTGTAAGCAAATATTGTTACTGCCCCTCAGAAGAAATCGTGAAGATCATGGGTTCCGAAGTTATTAGAGGACATGCAGACCTGAAAATAGGCTGAGAAAACACACAGATGCAGAGGTGGACCTCCAGGAATTCACTGCAGTAACTGGACTGAGTATTGGGTATTTTCACATGTTTTCAACTGCACAGTGTTGATTGTGATTGTCACCACTGGTATGGTTGTGGAAGAGTGACATGCCCAATTACAAGGTCATATCTCAATTCATGCCTGAAATAACTAAGTACAATCATGAAAATGTCATAAAAGCTGGTCTGTGGACTGAGACCTCTGGAATGTTAAGTCTCCTAACCACATTAATTTAAAGGGAAAACACTAGACTTAATTTTGAAGACTTCAGAGCTCAGCATTAACTGACATTTCCTGATTCTCTTTCTTGCCTCTGACAAAGTAAATTTATGAATGTAGAAAAGGGAACCACATTTCTGATTTGAGGTTATTTAGCATCAAATATGGGATGCTTAGGTGTAGTGGACTTGTAGAGATTGCTGAAAGATTCATAGCCTATTTTGATGCACTGTCCTCTCATCTGGGACTGTGGAAAACTATAATAAATTTCTCTACAGTATTCTGGCTTGGATTTAAACTAGGCACCACCTGGAAGTTGGAACTGATTCTGCTTCAGCCAGCTTGCTCCATACCACTCTAACATTCAGAGCCCAAGTTAAATAGTTGGTTTCTTGTACCCACCAACATCCTCAGCATACTCTACGAGATAGAAGAAACAGACTCCTGTCCTATGCATGCTATAAATCAAGTTGATTTCTTTATCCATGTCAAGAGATCATTAGGAATAAAAAATACATTTCAGACATACATAAAATTCCTGTCAAATTCCAGCAGAATGAGGATAAATATAGTAACAGTTTATAAACTGCATGCTAACTTTGATATAGATGGTCCAGCCACATGAAGCAATGCAGTAGTTTCCTACTTAAACACTTCATCTGCAAACCTCAGAGTGCTGACTGAGATGATGAAATGGGAATGATGTAGAATGAATCAGTCATGGCCTATTTTAATATTATTCCATCATTTACCTGAAAGGAGTAATGTTATCTATGTAAAACCTGTCAGGCTTGCCAGACTTGAACAAAAATCAAATGTAGGACCCCCTGAATGTGGAGTAGGTATGCTAACCACTTACTTAACTGCATGTTTGGTTCAATCAAATTTAAACCAAAACTGTGGAGAGATAAGTGAAGGCTGAAAACATTGGCAGATGGACCAAAAGAGGATAGGAGAAACAAGTCATAGCCTTTAAACTGCAGGATGACTGACAGGAATCAAACCTCAAAATATGTAAGATAGGAACTGTAAAAAAACTGCACATCTGTATTTTTATTTAGAAACACCATGTTTACATACCAGTAGTCTTACATCCCTTTCAATGACTGTGTTACACAGAGGCTGTAAAATAATTTACTTTGTAATGACTCCCAACCTGTGACCTGGCAACTTTGCAGTTTAGCTATGTAGTCCCTTAACTGTCTTTCTGATGCAATCAAGTCACCATGTGTTTTCAGAAAAAGTCCTAGATAAGCTTGTGTCACTTCAAAATCCCTGTTACTTATTAACATTGATTCAATTAACTTCATAAACAGTAACATAAGGTCAAATGAGCCACCACCTTCTGGGGCAAGTGAGGAGATTTCAAAGTCAATTGCTGAAGGACCCATGGCTTCCAGCTTGGCAATGGCTGGCTGAAAATTGTTGGTTTCAGAAGCATCATGTAGTAGTTGTGCAAAACCTGAAATAATCTGTAAATCTGCAGGCATCCTGATGTTATATGTTTCTTCTTTGTCAGCTGTTTCACTTAGGTCAAACTGCAGGTTTAGTGATGGTTGAGTTGGAAGAAAAAATGGTGCTGCCTTTGGTACTTTTGGTGGCTCTCTAGGTTTGTTCCGTTTCTTGACTATATCAATATCTAGAAGGTTTTGCCACCTCGAACTTGCAACCAAAGACAATGTCACAAGGTCTTTACTGATTTGATCACAGGACTTAAACTCAGGTTCATAATCAAGTACTGTTTCATTTTCTAAGCCTTCCTGTTCTTCACCCACAGTTGTTGGGAGTTTTAGTAATGGCACATCAGCTGACTCTGACAGTGGACGCAATGAAACATGTGAATATAATGTTTTGTTAGACCAAAGAAAGACCCCAAGATAATCCACATGAGTGGTGGCCAAGAAGTCGCCTGTTGGCGAGAAGCTCAGCGATGTGCAGGCAGCATCCACCTGAATAATAAGAGAACAGTATGGTGTTATATAAGAGTTATTACAAACTTCAAATAAAGTTAAAAAATTCTTCTTTTAAGTTTCCTAATCCCTAGGCACAGTATAGAAGGATTGGACAAGTGAAAGTAAATGGAAAACACAAATTTAACTTTCCTGCATTAAGATTCTGGTTACAAGAAACATATCCAACATATGATTTTCTTACTTTACAAGCAGAGAGAGAATAGAAATATGACTAGGTACCAGACACACGTGTCTATCATTAGATAGAGAGACAAACACTTACTACTAACATCTTCACTCACTCCAGGCTATACCACCCCATCCTACTCGTATTTCTATAAGATCCATTTAATATTATCCTCCCATCTATATCTAAGCCTTCCTAGTTGTCTCTCATTCTGGTTTTCCCACCAAACTTCTATATGAATTCTTCTTCACCCCACGTGCTATATGTCCTGCCCATCTCATCCTCCTTGACTTGATCATTCTTACACCTGGCAATGAGAAGAACTTATGAAGCTCATTATGCAGTTTTCTCCAACCTGCTACCATTTTATCCCTTTGTTCCAAATATTCTCCTCAGAAATACCCCCAGCCTATATAAAAAGTAAAGGTATCCCTGTAACAGGCCATGGAGGCCCATAGGCTGGTGAGATGTTGAGCTTCCTACATCTTCTGGACAATCGGCTCATAGATGGCAGCATGGTTGTCAGCCCTACGCACCAACCACCCTTTACCCTCATGAATATTCCTGGTACTCATTTCCGTTAGAGGCTGAGCCGACCCCAGGGCCATAGTGCGGCTGGAAGGTTTAGGTCAATTGAAAAAAATCCAGTGACCTCATCGGGACTTGAACCCGCGACCTTCTAGTTGTACCATAGTGCTTCAACCAACTATGCTACCGCGTGCACCCTTCAGTCTATATTCTTCCATTAATGTCAGAGATGAAGGTCCACACCCATACAAAACTACAGGCAAAATTACAGTTCTGTATATTTTAATTTGTATGTTTCTAGACAGCAGATGAGAAGACAAAAGGCCCTGAACTGACCAGTAGTATGCTTGATGCAAATTCAATCTGCTATTAATTTCCTCATGAATCAAATTTTGATTTGTTGGAAGTTACTGTCATTCCCAAATATTTTAACTTTGCCACATTTTCAAAGGATCTTTTCACAATCTTTACGTTACGATTTTGCCCTGCAACGTCTTACCTAAAATAAGACTTAAATACAAACCTGAAAACAGTCAATAAGCCGTGATGATGGAATGTCCCAGGTGCAGATAGTACGGTCCATAGCAGCTGTTAGCAACCAACGTGAGTCTGGACTGAATGTACAATCTGTCAGCCGACTTTTGTGTCCCTGGAATTTCCTTACAACTGTACGAGTGTCCAGATCCACGACAATAATGGTGAAATCTTCTAGAGCTGCTGCTAACATTGAACTGTCATGGTGAGCTCTAAAGAATGACACTGATTCCTCTACACTGAGTTTTGTCAATGCCGCTGAGCCTTTAGGAACAAAATTCACAAACAGGATAACTAACTAAATAGAAAATCTGAGTCTGCACAAAAAAATGATGAACAGATTTAATATCTTTGTCATAATAACTCACTGTAGATTTCCCTACTCTTCACTGGTATAGAAGCAAGGGCATTACAACAGACAAACAGAAGCAGGAAGTTCAGTCCAGATAGAAATGTGCTGCTAATGAGGGATCAGAAAAGAAGTCTTCACTGAATGCAAAGGTTTATTCTCATACACATTTCCCTTCAAAATGCTCCAGAGATAAAAATAACTAAACTATGATATCTAGGAATTCTGGAAGGCCAGAGTCCAATATTGAGTATTCTGTTCTCAAACAACTATGGACTTGTCAGCAGTATGTGCTGTATTATTACCTATACTGCCTTTCTTCAGCTGTCAATTACTTGGAGAAGGGATTAAATATATTGGTCATGAAGAGTTCTGAATTCACTTTTGCTGCAAAGCAAATTGAGCCAGTGCACTTTTACAGCACACCACATGGCTACTTTCATGCTTTGTAATGGTACTTTCTGAATGGCATAAGAAATTTCACCATACTCATATAATCTGAGTACTGACATAAAAACATGACTCATCATTTATGAACAGCAGCTGTGGCCCCATGACTCCATCATGCACATTCTGCAGCAACCATTCAGGACACAAAAGGACCCATCCTACAGATGGGGTCTGATAAAATGATACCGAGACATGTCTATTATAAACCCTTTACGATTAGATTCCCTGATAGAAGCAAATGGAAGGAGGGGTTTCAGCTCAACAGAAATGGAGGACTAATCTGGCACACAGATGGATCCAAAACAAATAAGGGCACTGGAGCTGGGATGTATAGCCATGGTACAAGACAGAAACTTAGTTTTAGCCTTGGGCAAGACACAACAGCATTCCAGGCAGAAATGTATGCCATTAAGGCATGCACAGTTGAGAATCTAGATAGGAACTATAAGAATAGGAACATCTATATTCTACCTATAACATATCTATATATCATATATCTATCTAAAACATCTATACTCTAGCTGCAGTTGGTAAACACCAAATCACCTCAAAACTGGTCTGGGACTGCATCAATCCCTCATACAACTGGCCAGACATAACAGAGTACAACTGATATGGGTGCCAGGTCATGAGGGCACTGTTGGTAATGAAACAACAGATCAGCTGGCAGGAACAGGATCTGAACATCCATTCATAGGAGCTGAACCAGCTTGAGGCATCTCAATTGGGGTTGCCAAGAAAGCGATCAGAGACTGGATGAATAGAAATCACAAAAACCATTGGGAATCCATAACTGGACTCAAACAAGCAAAAGGATTTATACTTTGGCCCTCTGCCAAAAGAACGAAGGATCTGTTGAAATTAAATAGATAAATTAAGATGGGTGGTAGGACTATTTACAAGACACTCACCTAAAAGGACACCTTTTCAAACTGGGATTGACAGATGATCCACTTGTGAAAGGTGCCTAGAAGAAAATGAATCAGCCACACACATCCTATGTGACTGTGAGGCCATAGCTTATTTAAGATCTCGTTACATGGGCCAGTTCTTTATGGAACCAAGTGACTACTATGACGCACCCATAAACAAAGTCATACATTTCATTCAAAGTGTAAAATTAATAAATGAGTAACAAATAGGGAAGCACGATAGATCACTGAAGGTTGTGGTCCATGGGGCTGGATTATTATGGCCCACCCCTCACACATTCATTCATTCGTTCATTCATTCATTCATTCACTGCAGCAACCACTTATAAAGGATCATTTTTTTCTGTATAATCTGGTTGTTTAAACTGGCCCACAATTATTTTACATAAGCAAAAATGAATTATGTAAGATTTGAGGCTTTCACGGCGGTGACTATGAAGAAAGCAGTCTTCTGGGATTTGGCACCGTGTATATGTGGTGTTAACCGACGTTTCGGAGGAACGTATCGCCCCCATCTTCAGGGTTGAAGAAGTATAAGTAAATCTGCAAGGGACAACACCGTGAGACACGGTGCCAAATCCCAGAAGACTGCTTTCTTCAAAAATGAATTAGCTTTATAGCTGTGAACACAGATGCCAGACAGACTTCAATTTCTTGTACCAAGAGTCTTAACAATTTTAAGGACTGATCTCTAACTGTGACTGAACATGTTTTAACTTTTCCTTCACTTAACACAATCCTCTTAGATCATCTTCTCTATGAGAAACTGTACCCATGATCCATCATATTTTAACAAGCTTTGATGTATTTGAGCTTTGTGGATAATTACAAATGAACCTCTGATTGAATTTTCTGTAAGATTTTTTTTTCTTACAGATGATGTACCTTACTGAAAGAGTAATGAATTCAGACCTCACAACAAAAAGCAAGCAGAACTTTCACACACTACCATAGTGATCACACTAGATATACTGACTGAAAATCACTCATCTTACAGATCACAGAAAAAATATTCTGCACAGTCTGTTCACAATGTTGCTACATAGCCTTCTCTAACTCTGTCACCTTATTTGAGGGTGGATTACTTTATGAGGTCAGTATCCAGACTATACAGTGTCATACCATTTCATGCCTCATGAAGTGGAAAGGATTTGAAAGGAAGTGGTTGTGGCCTAATTAAACTACTATCCCAGCACTGGGCTGGGGGAACTAAGCAAAACAACAGGAAACCATGATCAGGATAGCTGATATCCTGGCTGAAATCACAGTCACTTAAGTCAAGTGATGCCATGCTATTGCTAGCAGCATGTTCTTGTTTCAATTGAACACTGTATAATCCTTGCCAGATGTCACAGTTCTGTGTTCACTTCCTTAGCCCACTGTAAATTTCCCCATTCTTCAAAAGTAGAGGAGACAGAAGATTATAACATGTAAGCATAGCTTACAAATTGTGTAAGTGCTCTGCTTTCTTGTGTAGTGCAAAATGATTACACACAATACCTATTACAGAACATCATTACACAAAGCCAACAGACTTACAGTATTGCTAAACTTGTGTATCCATTTTGTCAACAAACAGAAGAATACTAAACTGGGGGATAGTTGAGCAAAGCTGTAAAACTCTTTCTCAAATCAGGAACAGAAGTGATGCATCACTCAAATGAACATTTTTCCATGGTTTCATAACCACTCATCATACAGTACATATTTAATGGGTGTCTCCTGCCACTGTCATCATATTGTTCTTACATCACTGCCTTGAATCCAAGCTAAAAGAGCATAAGCAATATTTTTCCAAGCATTTTACACTCAGGCCTAATGAGATCAGAGCATGAATTAATTAGCAGTATTCAAGGACATACAGATTCAGTAATGCCAAGACACTTTATGAAGCTCCTAAACCGTCCTTTAGAATAGAATTATAAATAGTAGAACTAGGCCAGATGTCAGCCAACTTGTCTTGAAGATGACTGTAACATTCCCGTAATATCAGCTAGCATTAACAAGTCAATACAGGGCCCATATACTATCAATCATTCTGCACATCTGTTCTCTGCGATCTCCTTGTTGCACAGCTAAGACTCCATGGACAACACAACCACACTGTTTAAACTTAACTTCCTGAATATTCTTCAAAGGATCAATATGTCTGAAGTAGCATGTTTAGAAATCACCCTTGATTCTCTTCCTAATCCTCTTCTGCAATTTGTCAAAAGGACATTTACCTTCCTCTGTACCATAAGTCCCTGCCTGAAGTCGGCTTAATCTCCTTGAATTAAGCTACTAATTTGTAATAACTCTCTTGTCAAGTATCTGTTTTTATATAAGTCACTTCTAATCTCCCAAAGTGCAGGTAAACTTCTGTATATCTCAATAAATCCTCTCCAGAACAATCACAGCGGGAGCAAGACTGCACATATTAGTGCAAATGGCAACATTCACAGTATAAGTCTTGCATAACACTATTTATTGCATTAAATATATCAAGCGCTCCTTGATTTTATGTAGTGGTTGCACAATATGTCTGTGGGAACTGCCCACATTCAAGCAAGTGTGACAAATCAAGTGTCATTGCTTAGTAACGACTCCCACACTGGTGACCCCAATGTGATTGGAAGTGCGTGTGGTGAAGAGTGAGCTGAATAGCGAGCGTTGCAGAAATGCGTGATAATATGTGGGATGCTCCCACATCACTCCCCCCCTTGCGAGAAGTGATGCTGCTGCTTGTGAGTTGTCTGCGGTGTCCATGCTTAGTCGGGGTCACCAATGTAGCAGTCGTTGCTAAGCAATGACACTTGCGTTGTCACACTTGCTTGAATGTGGGCAGTTCCCACATGTCAATCAATTCCATTCATTGTCAAAATGGCCGCGCAATAATGAATGTTGCACAAAATAACTGTGTACTGGACCCATGACGAGTCATAAGACAGTCAAGAAGCATAAGCTCCTCTCACAAACACCTATAATTAGAACATTAGATGAATTCCTAAAACAAATTCCTCTTTCTTTGAGATTTACATAAACTGGACAGAGCTCTGAGTGCTGTAAGGATGGACTCATGAAACATCCACCAACACATGCATTCATGTCTCTTTCATTCCCATAGTACTGACATAAGAACACAAGGGTGTAGCTAGAAAAAGGAATCTCTGGTCAGACAGGCAGTAAGCTACGAGGGTAATACTGAAAGTCATGAGCAACAATTTTTTGTAAAGTAACATGCTTCATTATTGACAAACCAAATACCCCACCTCAATCTACAGACCTTTCTTTATTTTTCCACATAACCGTCACTTCTTTGTACACGTTTCTCCCAGCTTTCTGGGAGTTTGAAAATTCCCCTTCTGTAAAACTCTGTTCCAGCCATCCTAAGACACTGACGCACTGCTTTCTGAATTGTCTCCCTTATCTTAAAACGTCCACGCAACTGATCCTTCATAAGTTGGAAAAGATGGTAGTTGGAGGGTGCCAGATCAGGGCTATACGAGGGGTGTGGAAGAACTTCCCATCCCATCTTTGCAATTGCTTCCATTGTGAGGTGAGTGGTATGGGGGCGAGCGCTGTCATGCAGGATGATGTTTCATCCTGAACGTTTATTGCGCAATGCACGACGGAGCTTGTGCAGCGTCTGGACATAATGAACAGCATTGATGGTTTGCCCAGTTTCCAGGAATTCGGCCAGAATAACCCCCTCAGCATCCCAGAAGACTGTACCCATCACCTTCGCAGCTGATGGCATTGTCTTTGCCTTCTTTTATGATGGAGAATGCAAATGGTGCCATTCCATACTCTGCTATTTTGTTTCAGGCTCGAAATGGTGAACCCAGCTTTCGTCACCTGTCACAATACAGAGCAAAAAATCATCGCCTTTGTGTCGATATCTCTGCAGCAGTTCTGAGTTGATGGCTTTTCGCTGACCTTTGTGGTCTTCAGTTAATAACCGCGGGACCCAATAAGCACACACTTTCCTATAGCCCAAGCTTTCAATAATCTCCTGTACTGCACTGTGCCCTATTCCAAGTTTTCGGACTACTGTGTCCACAGTCACACGCCTGTCATCTTGAATGATCTCATCCACTCTTTCCTTGTTGCATTTAGTTGAGGCTGTTCAAGGACAACCACTCCGATGCTCATCTCCAATGCTGGTGTTCCCATCTTTAAAACGTTTCACCCACTCTCGAACACTGCTTGCACCCATGCACACACTTCCATAAGCACGCTGAAGTCTCTGGTGAATTTCTGCAGCAGGGATTTCCTCTTTCACAAGAAATTCGATGACAGCATGCTGGTGAAGCGACATATCGCTGTCGGCCATTTTGTTAGGAGTGATACTGGTCATGTGATACAAGCTATTGATGTCACAAGACACTCAAGGTGAACACAACAGCTGGTTCCACCTACCATTGTACTCTCTTTCGTCTGCTGTTCCCAGGTTGCATGCAAAAAAAAAAGTTGCTCCTGACTTTCGGCACGACTTACGTATTTCATAAAACTACAAGTACAAGGGTAACAGGCACTTCTGTATTGGCAAAAGTAACATGTGAAACTGCCATTTTCTCCAACATGTTACTACTGTCAACCACAGAATTTATTAGTGAAATAGGATGCAAGGCGTAACCTTAGAATTCGTTTCCAACACCAAGTCCATGAAGTTAGGCTTTCGGTTTTTGTTTTTAACACCGTCAGTGCATACTATTGCCACCATTTTACTAAAATAATGCAATTAGAAGACAAAAAAATATTAAGAAAGTGCAACAGAAATGCATTTTATAGCCCACTGGATGAGAATGAAAAATGCAATGCAAAGAGATTATTTCTTGATGTGGACTAAAGTAAAATGTTGCACTACACAATAATACGAAGGCGGCCTCTGTAGTCTACAGGTAACGTTCCCACCTCATGACTCGTGGTATGCAGGTTCAAATACTGATGACTGATGGTACACACCATTATCGGTAGGGTATAGAGACTGGTAGAATATCATAGAGGGAAGCACAATGGACCAATACTGGTCTAAGTGCATGGGGAAACCCACCCTCTCCAATAACTAAGTAACTACAATAATACGAGGAACGTTCTGTATATAATACTTCCTATTTTTTTTAATGGAAACTACAAGAGATACAGAAAGCAAAATAACACATTTAAATAGAAGAAGATTTCAGTTACTTACAGTTATTTTTCCACATAATCACCACCATTCGTTATGCACTTTTGCCAGCGATGAACCTGTAAAAGTCTGCGCCAGCAGAGGCTAACCACTTTCTTACAGCTGCAATGACAGCATTGTTGTCTGGAAAATGTTGCCCACGTAGTCCATCTTTCATAGGACCAAAGAGATGGAAGTCTGAAGGTGCTAAATCGGGGCTATAAGGTGGATGTGGTAGGACAGTCCAGCCAAACTTTGCAATGCGCGCGGTGGTCACCAAACTAGTATGGGGTCTAGCATTATGGTGTTGCAAGCAAAAGGTTGTCGGCTTCTCTGGCCTGACTCGGGAAATGCGGGGCTTCCAGCTTAGTCGGCATCGTCTTGTAGCGTTCAGAATTGACAGTCTCACCAGGCTCCAGGAAATCCAACAAAATTAAACCCTGCCTATCCCAAAAGACCGTGCACATCACTTTCCCTACTGATGGCTGTGTCTTGAACGTCTTTTTTCTTGGGGAATCTGGATGTCGCCACTCCATGGACTGTCTTTTGGATTCCAGCTCATAGTGGTGACACATCTCATCTCTGGTGACGATGCTGTCCAGAAACTTGTCACATTCAGCCTTGAACTGGTGCAACAGGTCCTGACAGACTTCCATTCGATGACTTTTGTGGTCCTGTGTAAGCATCTGCGGGACACACCTGGAACAAACTTTGGGATAATCCAGCTTCCCCAACATTGTTTCCAATGAATTACAGCCAATATTAAGCCGTACACACAGTTCCCTGGTCGTTATCCACCGATCTGTACAGATGAGCTGATCAATGTGCTGTTCACTGTGAGGAGTGGCAGCTGAGTAGGGGCGCCCAGGGCATGGCTTGTTGTGCACTTCACTTTCGCCACTGTTGAAACGCACTACCCACCGCCTCACTGTGCTGACATCCACTGTATTGTCTCCATACACCTTTAGCAAGCGTCGATGGATGTCAATGGGTGCAATTTGTTCGGCAGTGAGAAATTAATAGCACATCTCTGTTTCGTATGCACTTCTATGTCAGACACCATTTTGGTAGACTGTTCTTCTGTCGCTATCTGTCGCATGACAACCAAACTAACAGTACATTGGCGGGAAGGTTCAACCTTTGCTACAACACCACCAACATCCAGCTCAGATGTTACAGATTAACACAAAAGAATAGGAGGCATTATATACGGAACACCCTTCGTATGTTGAATATCACATCAAGAAAGTTAACAATATGCATGTAAAACCTTCTAAGATTATATTTCGATTTTTGTTTCTACAAAAAAACTTCTACAATTGGCAGTGCCAATGTAGCAGACAACATAGCTGTAAAGTTTTAAGGTTATTTCGGTCACCCTTTGATACACACATACTTGCTGACGACACTCCTCACCAACAGCTGTACTAGCATAGCAGCACAAAAAAAAACTGTTGCATCATATTTACACATACTTCAATGTTTGTTCATGCAATTCATATTTAGTAACAGGTAGAATCAGTTACATTTAAGTGTGCATTGTGTATAGCACAGTGAACAGAGTAATCTTCTCCTGTTCTCACTATCTCAAAAGATATGTGACAAAAAATAAAAAACAAACTCCATGGCCTGTAGTCCGCAAGTGAACTATACCAACCAATCTGTCGCCACTTGTCGGCGAAGTTAGTGCCAACTTTAGTGGATAGAGGGTGACATGTGGTCAGCACAACAAATACCCATGGGCATTAATTTTGGTTTTCTAGACCTGAGCCACTATTTCCTTGAAATAGCGCCTCAATTTTCCTCAAAAGGCTGAGTGGATTCCATTCCAGACCCACTACTTCTCAGAAAATCTGGTATCGCCAGGAATCGAACCCGGAACCTCTGGATCTGTCGGAAGGAATTCAGACCACAGAGCTGGTCTTGAAAATATGCGATACTGTGACAAAAATGTTGGGATGCTAATCATGGATGAACCTTACAACCAGTTCTCCTGTAAAGTTAAAGGAGTACTGCCTTCCTAGCATGTCATCCATAAATACTTTGCCCAGTAAACTGCTTATTCTCTAGATTTATATCTATGCACTGAAATATCAAAGACATGTTTCCTGCATCTATCTATTATATGCTATATCCCCCAGTTTTATAATATGAAGAGCCGAGACACTGTTCTACATATTTACTGAAACAGTTATCCAAAGAAACCTTGCATACGTATTACATGCTGCACACCTGAAAATTTAAATGGCCAGAATTTGATGACTCCATCACTTCCACCTGTGACTGCCATCTGATTCAAATTATCTGTAGCCACGCCCCTCACAGGTCCTGTGTGTGCAGATGGATGGCCGTAGCTTCCCCTGTGGATTCCAGACTGGATGTTGAACTTGTCCACATGGCCTGAACTATAGCCAATTAGCACAAAGTTGCCACAGTAAGTTAGGCACAGGCATGTTGCAACAGCATTCACATTCAACTGTGACTTCTTAGGATCAAATCTTTCTGGTAATAACTTCAGCTCTCCCATCTTTAACTTATCATATGACCATGTTGTGACAGTAGCCAAATTTAAATGCACTGCTGCAATGTTGTCCCATTCCTTTTCTCGTGTTGTCTCTGATGTGAACTGCACAATTGGTGGCATCTTGAGAGGTTCTGCTGAACCTTTTCTTTTCTTTTTTGACAGTTTACGATTATATGAAGCTTGTCCCAAACTCTTATTGAAGGTTTCTGTGATGGTAGAAAATATTCGAAGGGAAGAATCACCTCCTGCACTCAGAAGATTGTGACCATTACTTCCATGGAATCGAACATATGAAGGTGGTGAACTGTGGCCTTCACGAATGTTTAGAAGTCGTGCCCCTCCATCTGGCATGTCAAATATCCACATTTTTAATGAATTATCTGAAGATGAGGTAACAAAAACGGGCTCATCTTGAAGGCACTGAAGTCCAGTTACTGCATTATTATGTGCTCTGAGCAACTGGCTCATTACTTTCTTTTCCTCCAAATTCCAAAAGACAACATGTCCTGACAAACTACCTGAAACCAATACTGGATGTCTGTCTGTTCGAAAAGACAAACTAGTTACAAGACCCCAGTCCTGCATAAATTCCATTACAGTTACATCAAACTTCAGATTGTGAAGAATTATTTTACCACTTGCTAAACCAATTCCTACAACATCAACAGCCGGTGCCTGTTCCAAAACAGTGACAGCCGACGACCAACCTTTGAAAACATAAATTTGTTTTGCAGAATGAATGTTCCAGAGTTGCATGGTTCCCTGTTCACTGCCTAACAAAATCTTATTTAAGTATGTACTAGGATGAAGCATTGTGGTTATATTAAATGTGTTCATGTCAAAAGTCAGCTCCAAGTGTAACTCCTCAGATTTGATGTCCCATATCTTCAGAATATTGTTTTCATCAACAGAAAGCAGATGAGGCCCGAAGGATAAAATAAGGTGCACTGGACTGGCATGACCAACATACGTGTGCTTCAGTTCGGTTCCTCGTCTCCAAGCACGAATTTCATTATCACATGCTGTATACACATGATAAGCATCTGCAGCAATACATGTTATTTCACCTGAATGCAAGCCACTAACACTAAGTAATGTAAACCTCGTGCAACCGTACGTATGAAATGCCTTTCCCACACATGTTACCACTAAGTTTTCTTTTCTGCAACGAATATAACGCACTACTAATGGAATGTGGTTACTAACATAACCCAGAGCCCTATTTCTCATAAAAATTCTACTCGACTGGGCCATTTCTAGCTACTGCGACAAAACAACACAATTCCTACACTTTAATTCACTCACAACGGTCCACAACGTTAGGCTAGAACGGCTAGAAACGGTAGAAAGTAGCGTACGAGATGGAGCAACACGGTAACTACCGGTAACTACGGTAACTACGTAACTGCTGCCACTATGTGTGGAGCGTGTGGAGGCAGACGAGGCAGATACGGCAGAGCCACGGGGCTGCGGCAGATACTGCTCAGAGATGTCAGAGATCGTTCTGATCAGTTCTATTCCCGCATGATCAGCTGTTTGTTGTGGCACGTGGTAACGTACGGTAGTGTATATCGGTGTATATCGTGTATATACTTATGAAGGTTTTCAGTACGTAACCTGCGATGAGTGAAATGGATGGTTTAACTATTGCAACAGAATTAGATAGAGATGTTACCAAATACCCTGCAGAAAAAAGGTTGAAAATGGAAAACAGTAGCGAAGAGGATCCAGACATGTACAATGCAGATACATCGTCTATTATGTGTATGAAGAGTGAAATGTCCAAAACGCTTTCCAAAAGACAACTGAAAAAACAAAAACAGAAAGAGAAATGGCTAGCTTATAGACCTGTTAAAAGGTAAACTTGTAACACATGAAATTCTTTGTGATTACACTTCATAGAATTTATTTGTTCATTTGTTGATGATACCTTTTCCAGAGCCAAAGAAAAGTTGAAATTGAGACAGAAGAAATTAGATGCGCGCCTAAACAATATTAAATTGGGACCATCGAGGAAAGAACTGAAGCATTCAAAAATGTTACAGAGTAACTGTAACGTTCGTATAGCAGTTGATTTGTCTTTTGATGATATAATGAATGATAAGGTATAGATTTTATTTTACTCAAAGAATGAATGCCATAAGTTTTTAAAATGAAGCATTAATGATAACTTTTTCTTAAAATACCAGGAAATCAGTAAGTGTATCAAGCAGCTCTTACGATGTTACAGCCTTAATCGAAGAGCTAAAGATCCAGTACAGTTCTACATTACAAATTTTGGTGGAAAGTGTAAGAAGGAAATGGAAAAGCACACTGGATATATGAACTGGGATGTAAGTTTCTGATACTTGTTTCTTATTGAATGCTGAACATTCAGAAAGCTGAAATAATGTTTCATTGTTTTTGCATTCATTGAAATAATGATGCTGTAATATAGTAAAGATTTTTTATTTCCAAACATTGTGTCTCCGAGGTACTGGCATCATATACCTTTGTACACTTTTGTTTCTGTTGTATACTTTATCTGTCACCAATGTCTCTCAGTGGCAGGTCTTGTGAACACAAAAATGAACCACTGGGTTCAATAAAGGGCTAGAGATTTATTGTCCAGCAGAATGACTATTAGTTTCTCAAGGATTATCTGGAGTTAGTTAAAATATCTTGGTTTGTCTTCATTGTATACCAGTTTCTTTTTATTTGTGAAAGCACTGAAATTCAGCTTGCTGTCCACATATCCAAATGTCCGCTTTAGTAGCTGACACTTGAAAGTCCACACCTTATGTGTACTCTACATGAGAAAGGTTCAGCAGGGTAGTGTAATGCCCTCTCATATTGTTACATTGTGAAGAGGAGGAGAGGAAATTACATATTCATTGTCACAGGATTAAATCTTCCTTTCCAAACATTAAACCACTTGTGCAGTATTATGATTTACCACAAAGATGGAAGAATACAATGTGGTAGCATAGTTGGTTGAGGCAGTATGCTACAAGCCAGAAGGTCACAGGATCGAATCCCAATGAGGTGGATTTTTTCAATTGACCTAATCCTTCTAGGTGCACTATGACCCTGGGTTCGACTCAGCCTCTAACAGAATTGAGTACCAGGAATATTGTTGGGGGTAAAAGGTGTCCAGCATGTAAGGCTGACAATCTCACCGCCATCTATGAGCCAATTGTCTAGAAAATGTGGGACCCTCAACATCTCACAACCCTATGGGCCTCCACAGCCTATTACAGGGATACCTTTACTTTTACTTACTTTAGAAAACCATTTTGCATACTCTAAATTTAGCATTATTCACATACTTATCACTTTATCATGTTAGTTGAAATACAAAACAAAACCTACAGCAGCAGCACAGGAAGTTAAAAATTTCAAGTAAGCAACAACATTATTTAGACATGCTGTGTTATGCATGACATGACCTGCCAGTTCATATCAAATATTAGCTGAACCTGTCAGCAGTGGCTGACAACCATAACCACCCGGATGTATACCAGTTTCCTCAATACAAGAGTGTTGTAAGATCTCAGCCTCTTCTGAACAGTTGTATGTTCTGTGCCTTACATTCTGTAATCTCAGGCCTGACATATAGACTGAATGAATCTGGCTTTGATTTATGGCATAGATAGGTTTTTCTCATTGCCACCATTTTCAACTTGGCTCTGGGGCTTGACTACCCTGCCTCATATCCAGTTGGTATCAGAGGCTATTCCTCAGGGTTAAAGTGGTTGGAATGTGAAGCTGACCACTCATATCAATCTAGTGGCAGGAATATATGTATCTTCATTATGTGGTGTTTCATTAAGTACAGGGAAAATTTTGCTTCAGTGTTGTTGTTCAGAAGGTTCAGATCCCAGTAATAATAATAATGATGATAATAATAAGCAAGAGCTGGGGCTATTACTCTTGCACCACAGTGCAAATTGAGGATTGTGTACTCCTCAGCCAATATGACTCCTTTACCAAGTACAGCGATGTAAGAAATTCTAGTCTGCTATCATCATAATGCCTGCCATTTTACAGTCCTGAGTTCACATTTTCACATGAATCTGTGGGTTTTCCTATTGTACTAGGAATTAAATATAAAAAATTAATATTAAATATATTTCAAATGGTTATCATGGAGATCATACATTCATAAAATCCTTATCATTAACTATCATGACAGTATGGATAATTTTGAATTTCTAAGATTGTTAAGTAACTTGTTTTTATCTGTCCTTTACTCTGACTTCATGCAGCCCAACATTTTCTTTTGAATTTTGTTTTCAGATTTAAATAATATTCTTTAGAGGAAGATAATTTTCATAACTGTAAGTGGGTAAATTAATATTTTCATGTGTGTCATTTCTTACTGTATTAGAGATTGTACAAAATTATGACTTAATTATATACATTTCTTGAATTTATTCATATTTGTTAACTATATTTTTTATTTTTTAGGTATGTATTTAGATTGTCAACAATCTGAAAAATTATTGAAGAAACTGAATACACCGTATTTTATGCTCAGGAAGTTATTATCCCTTGTCAGTGAACAAGCTCTTCGAATGGTCTGTTTTTCTTATTATCAGTCTCAGCTTGAATACAGTATTATATTCTGGGGTTATTCTCCAGTTATAAAAAGTTTATTTGTTGCCCAAAAAAGAGTGATTAGGGTTATGCTGAGATTGAGTCCTGGAAACTCGTGTAGAGAAGGTTTTAAGAGACTGGGTATTTTGACAGTTCCTAGCCTATATATCTATCCTATATTGATGTTTGTTGTTAGAAATCTCAATTCTTTTCAAACCAACAATAATATTCATCATATAAACACTAGAGAGTTTGGAAAGCTACATGTGTCATCAGTGAGATTGTCTTCAATCCAGAGAGGCGTGTTATATTCATCCATTATGTTTTATAATAATCTTCATCAAAATACACAAAGGATGAGTGATAATGTGAAGGTTTTTAAACACACACTGAAAAGGTTCCTCACAACAAATGCTTTTTATTCAATAGATGAATATATTTCTGCTAAGCATGTATAACATTTAATAATATTTATAATATAATAATATTTAATATATTCCTTGCAATTTTGTTTATGAATGACAATGTAAATTATGGTTATTTGGTGCTTTTGGTTGTGTGCTGTTGACACGATTGTACTTTGCAATCAAGTCTTATTTTGACGAGTTCAATATCCGGTCCAATTCGGACAACGGATCAGTGAATTTATGAATTATGTATGTATGTATATTATTATGGTAATTATTTTTTATGTTATTGGCTATTTCAGTTTGGAACTGATGTTATTTATGATCCAGGATAGCTTAGTACATAAAGTGACTTCAATTCCTAACAAGGGCAGGGATTTTCTTCTTGTTCAAAACTGTTCTTGGGTACACCTAGCTTTCTGTCCAGTGACTGTTGGGAGCTCTGTATGTGGAAAGAATGCATCTGCTGCAGAAGATTGTGATTTAGCACAGAGACAGATTTGTTAACTATTTTTATATTATGACCCTGTTACCAATCTTGATTTCCTGACATTAGTAATTTTGCCAAATAATTTTTGCTGACACTTTTTTATTTTTTCAGGTAAATTTTCATAGTGAGAGTTACAGAGACATATTTGAGTCCAAGGACTTGGTTTATTTAACAAGTGAATCAGACAATATTATTTATTCACTGGAAGAAAATAAAGTATATGTAATAGGGGGCCTTGTGGATCATAATTCTTATAAGGTATGAAAAATGAACTTCACCGATTATATCTGTTGAAACAATACATTCACTTGTCAGGAATTTGAATTTAATGTGTCTTTTAAACTAGGAGATGTGTAAGGTGTGCATTAATTTCCACAGTTCTGGAGAATGATTTACAATTCAAACATTTCTGAAGAGACAAGATTAAAATTTGAGATTATCATGAATATACCTGACTGAATGGTACCATATGTAGTAACCTTCTGGATGGAGAGGATCATTCTTGCACAGAGTGCTCTCTCTCTCACACCCCACCCCCCCTACTGTAACATCTTGAGATATTTGTCTCCCTTTATTGTGAGAATTTGAATGGTTTTGTGATTTTTTCAATACAGGTGTGAATCAGGGTCTTTCTTAGTTGTTCTTTTTGATGGCTTTGGAATGTTTGATGGGAGTCTTTAACTCTTGTAAAAACGAAGTTGTGGATTTGTATCTCACTGATATCAATTATATATAACTCCATAGGTCATTGTCCATCTAGAAAAATTTTTTGTGACTCAGCTGGTCAATAAATCCTCTTTTATGAAGCCTGAAGATTCATTACCATGTAGGATTTGAGGTTCTCATAGCGGTGTTATGAAGCGCACAATCTTCTGGGATATATCATGTAGTCTAGCAAGTGCCTTGCTTGCCACCTGCTTGCACACTAGTTTCTATTTCAGCATGTTCTTTGACCCTGAAGATGGCGGCGATGTTACTCTGAAACGTCAATTGACTTTTCAACGGATTACATGGTGTTATAGCCTAGAAGACAGCACTACTGTTCATTATATGTTTATAGGAGCCTGCCACTGATTCCAGTCCTGAGTCACATAAATTTAGCCCACACCCTCTCTCCATATATCTTTATAAGAAATAAGTGACATAATCAAGAAATATTTTCCTTCACTTTCACCATGATGCAATACTCATCTGTGCAGGGTATATGTCATCAGATTGCTCAGGAGAAAGGAATAAGTCATGGTAAATTACCCATTGAAGAGTTCCTGGAGATGAAAACAAGAAAAGTTTTGACAATTGACCATGGTAAGTGTAGAGACTGTTCATGACAAATACTTTTGCATGAATGAAGTATGGCAGTAATTATAAATTCTGTTTTCTTTACTACCTTCATCTGTCATTGTTTAAGCAATAGTCACAGGAAGTTAATTGGTTTCATGTGCTCTCATCACCAAAGATTAGAACTGTTAGTTTGTTTTCCAAATCCTAATGATAGTTCCTGGAACTGACTAATTCTAGTCCATAATTTCCCTGTTTGAAGTTTGGAATACGATAGAGTACCCTCTTGAAATCTAAACAGACCCAACATTTGTACAAGCCCCAGATCATGATTGCCCCTTGCATTAAGTTGCCATGTTGAGTGGGTGAAATCCTCATTTCTATACCTTCATACCTACTGAGGACTATGTACGTAACTCTTTGTTTGGGGATCCAATTGTACCCAAGGATACTGGGTTCTTGGCACAAATTTTCTAGGATTTCCTGAAATGAACTTAGTTGTAACATTGTCCTAAGCTTGGTTGATAGCTTGCTTCTTATACTGTATTATTATAATTAAAGTCGAGCAATTCGGAATATAGAGACCAGGATAGGGAGTCATAGACATAGCAAACTGAGAAGACTTAGCTGTAGTGAGAAGTCGAGTGTGTGAATTATCAAGAGTGCTGTAAGTAATTGTAGTTACAATTTACAAACATTTAATAAGCCCAGTTACCAGTCCAAACCATGTGTCTACTCAGTAACACCTGACAGTATATCTGCTTTTGATCTGCTGTTATTTATATGTGCTTTACATAATAAGTCCACAACAAAGAAAATTGTATGGCAATGCTTGCACCTTCTCCTTGTATTTCAGTGTTTGAAATCCTCTTGGAAGTAACAGGTGGGAAGTCTTGGAAAGAAGCATTTCTACATGTTCTGCCACCTAGGAAAGGTGCTGTTGAGAGGGCAGAGGTATTTAAAGAAAAACTCAGCACTGTGTCAGAAACACAAGTACAGAGTAATACAGAGCCATCCTGACTCATGTGATGTCAGCAGTATTTTATGATTCCATGAAGTGGTGTAACAACAGGACTACATTTGACATTATGCACTGTCTTAAGAAATTTCAGCAAAAATTAAATATCCTATTTTTACCCCAATTTTTGGTACAGATTCTTTGTTAAATAGATACTGATAATTATTCATGTAATCTGTGCTTTCTCATGTTGCCTGTCTCCCATTTGATATATGACTTTGCATAGACATGCTGAAGGTTCAGAAGGAATACATATAAAAGTTCGCGTCCATTGTTTATCTTCCGTCAAAATTGCAACACTTTTACATTCTACACTTCAACACTACATGTTTTGGCCTCAAACGGCCATCTTCAGGTGCTTTTATGTTACAGATATTTTACTAAAACTGTGTTAAAAACTGCTACACTGTTTTAATTCGTGTTAAAATCACACACTGTAGTCTTTTTTTTAAGTAAAATGAGATAAAATCCTTTAAAATTTCTGTTGCATATTATTTCACTTTACCCGTGGTGTCATCATTTTTGTAAATGTATCAAGGTGTTTTTTTTGGCAGCTTGCCCCTCACGTTCGTGGTCTACTTTCAGTTTTTGACTGCCATCTGTAATTTATAAATTCCTATATTAATGTTGTTTTCTATTTGTTATTCTTCTTCTTCTTATTATTATTATTATGTTATGCTTTTTTTACTTTTTGTACTCACATGCTCCTGGTTTGTGTGCGCTTCCTCCACAGCATGTGGTGTTGTCTTTACTAGTGTCGATGTGGTGTAATTGTTCCTGTATTTATATGCTCTGGTTGTGAGGAGTGTAATTTTGTATAGCATTTCAAATATAGGGTTGTGTGTGTGTCGATGTTTGTGTCATTCATATGTAAATCTTTGCTCGTTTGATATAGAGAATATGTATACAAACATACCGAAAATGGGTATTAAAACATAATAAATAAAACACTAGAAAGTCTAGGAACTGAGACAAATGTACAAAAAGAAATCATGAAAATGTTAAGTACAATAATTGAACAAAATTATTTCCAATTTGACCAATATTACAAACAAATGAACTAGCAGTGGGAGCACCAACATCATCAATACTGGCAGAAACATACATACAACATATGGAGCACACACAAATATATTCCAGGCTAATAAAGCATCAAATAATTGCATATTTTAGATACGTTGATGACATATTGATAATATATGATCAAAATAAAACAAATATTGATCACACACTTAATGAGTTCAACAAAGCACAACCAGCTATAAATTTTGCCATGGAGAAAGAAGAGCATCAGTCTATCAGTTTCCTAGATCTAGTAATATATCAAAATGACTGCCACCCACACAAACACAAACGATCAGGCATGAACTATTTACTAAATCGATTGTATACATACCCAATAACGAGAAAGGCAAAAGACATAGAAATGAACACAATTCAAAATATATTACACAAAAATGAATATGACATAAAATTAACTAGCAACAACCCCCAAGAAGAAACAAAAAGAAAACACACAGGAAAACTCAGAGCAACAAAAAACAAAGTGGGTAGCCTTTACGTATAGCGGAAAGGAAGTCAGATAAATCACAAAACTTTTTCGAGATACGGAAATAAAAATAGCTTTCCGTATGCGAAACACAATACAAAATATACTAAGGCCACAGCCACAAATAGATAAGTATAATAGAAGTGGAATTTATCAAATGAAATGTTTAGATTGCCCATTGAAATATGTCAGACAAACAGGAAGAACATTCAAAACCAGATATAAAGAACACATTCATGACATAAAACGTAACAATAGTAACTCAGGATATTCAAGTCATATATTGAATACCGGACACAGGTACAGTACAATAGCAGACACCATGGAAACCATAACAACTGGGAAAAAAGGAAAACATCTAAATACACTTGAGAAATACTATATTTACAAAACTAGTAAAAAATATTTAAATATGAATGACACATACATCGACACACACAACCCTATATTTGAAATACTATACAAAATTACACGACATAACACTATCCCTCCCCCATTTCTCCCCACTCCTCACAACCAGAGCATATAAATACAGGAACAATTACACCACATCGACACTAGTAAAGACAACACCACATGCTGTGGAGGAAGCACACACAAACCAGGAGCATGTGAGTACAAAAAGTAAAAAAGCATAACATAATAATAATAATAAGAATAATAACAAATAGAAAACAACATTAATATAGGAATTTATAAATTAGATGGCAGTCAAAAACTGAAAGTAGACCACGAACGTGAGGGGCAAGGTGCCAAGAAAAACACCTTGATACTTTTACAAAAATGATGACACCACAGGTAAAGTGAAATAATATGCAACAGAAATTTTAAAGGATTTTATCTCATTTTACTTAAAAAGAAGACTACAGCGTGTGATTTTAACACGACTTAAAACAGTGTAGCAGTTTTTAACACAGTTTTAGTAAAATATCTGTAATATAAAAACACCTGAAGATGGCCGTTTGAGGCTGAAACATGTAGTGTTGAAGTTTAGAATGTAAGAGTGTTGCAATTTTGACGAAGATAAACAATGACGCTAATTTGAAGAATTGCAACGGGATGCTGAAATACAGAAACATGTGTGTTTATGCTTCATCAGGTTACAGAATATGGACACAGAGACATGCAGTCAGTGGCATATAACTAGTTTTACTACTGTAGATGTTATCACTAAAAGGAATACCAAATTACAGTTGAACTAACAGTGGATTCTAAGATTTACTTTGCCTCCCATGGGAGGAGTCATAATTTTACTGAATGTGATGGATTGAAAAGTATTGAGTATTTTTGAAGGTACTTCATCATATGTAAAAATAAAACCTGCAACAACACTACCTTCAACACCACACCAATGCGAATATAATAAAAGTGAAGGAACTTACCATTTTATAAAGTAAGAGAGAACAAAAAATGTTTGCTGAATCTGCTGATTAACCACAATTCATGCTTTAATAAAATACAGTGGTTTGTGTATATTAAAACCAAAAACATTTTGGATTTACAGCATAAACATGAACTTCCCTTTGTGTTAAGCCTGTCCATAATCCCTCAATAACAATAAAATAATTGTTATGTATCGTTTGTAAGACACCACTATCAAGATATTCTGCTATCCCATAATTACTGTCCCTGTCTAATTAATATTCCTATTTTGTGACATTCTTACTCACAAAAAATGCTACCATTAAGGTTAGAGCATGAACAAAATGACTTAACCTTTAACGTACAGACTTTCAAATTGCCGGCAGCCTGCTGCGGCCAGAATTTAAATGGCCCTGAGACTTTAACATTGCAGACTTTCAGGAAAAACTACATATTTTCCATTCTATGCAACATAGAAATACAAACTAAAAACAACCTGAAAGACAATAAAATTTTCTACATATACACAAATGAAAATTAATTGTGATTGTTTTGTTATGAGATGCAAAATGTAATCTTTATTATATATGTTATGAAATTCCAAAGGACTTACCTGTAGATTTTTCGTCAATCTTGAGGCATGGCAATTTTGTAAATATAATCACTATATACAATAATATTTTGTTCAGACTGTGCGATTTTGAACTGCGTCACTTGACAGTTTACCATACCTCACACTCTGATGTGCTTGTGCCACATCTCGAAGCAGTCCATGACACACAGCTCAACATCACACTTTTTTTTCAATAGAAAAGGTTGCTCCTGTTTTTCTTATTTAGTGAACACACACGACATCTTTGTTTCCCTTTGGTTGGCCAGTGTTGTGAACGTTTCACCTCCAGTCAAGTCAGTTGGGCCCCAGATGAACTTGGCGTCCCCCAAGAACCGCCACTGGCCGTGATATTCGCCTGATGTGATCAAAGAATCAAATCCCATACTAGGATTTCGTGGAATTTCTTATGTGTCATTTTCCCACCACATGACTTGTGTAATAGATAGGCATTGAGAATAGTCATATCTAGAAGGTGGAAAAACAATTTCTTTGTCCATTTCCATGTNAATCAAGACAGAGCAGACTATATCAGTAAATGTAGAACATTCTAGACAGTGACTGCGAGTTAGTGGTGCCTACTGAAGTTCCTAGAGACAGTCCAACAAGTAGTTTCCAGGTAAAAGAATGGACCACCAGATAAAGCATGCAGAATAGAGGCTAATTAAAATGCCAATATATGAAAGACTGTTAATCAAAGGCTACAAACTAAACTTCCAGAATAAACATANAGGCACATTTTTGGGGGGGGGATTTCCAGCCAAACTGAATAAATTATGGTGATTGACAAAGCGACACTCTCACCTGTTAGTAATACTCGCTAAACAGTGATGCAAAGTAATTATAATACTAGCCAAAAAGAGTGCCAGTCTGACACTGATACCGAAAGTCACAGTGAGGAAGATGCCTTTTACTCACAAAGGAATACTGGCTCAGTGGGTTTATGCGTCTTCCGAGACACAAAATAAAATGTTGA